ATACACTCAAGGAAGCCACTTAGGCAACAGGGAACAGTGTTTTGATGGAGCTGACAAGCAGAATGAAGTTTTACCACCTTCCTCAAGCTAGTCCTGAAAACCCAACACCTATATCATCAAGGCAGTGCATCAGGAGAACAGTCTTCCAAAATTCAAATGGCACAGGTGCCAAAAGCCACAGAGAGGACAGCACAGCGTAGTACCTGCAAGGTCACAATTTAACCTGTGCAGCCTTTGGTGGCACAAACAGAAGCAGAAAATTCTAGCATGCATCCACAGAGCAGGGATGAGCACAAAGACCCAGCAGACAACAGGAGATGTGGCTCACAGCAGCACAGGGCTTCCCCAGAACTCGGATCCAAACTCAGACTCTTTGCCAGTCAAACAATCAAGCAATTTCCTGACATAAACGAGGGATGAAACACACTGCCTGATACCTGGCACTTCCTTGCTGCTATCAGGCAGCTAAAAACAGCTCTTAAAAGAAAAACAAATGCCCATTTCCCCAGGATTCTGTGAAGCCTTCTGCCACAAGCGAGCCTAGTTGACACCAGCTGGGTCAGCATGGCTGCCCTCTAACAGAGCTGGTTTTGAAAAGCATCGCAGATCTCCCTCCCACTTGTTTAGGAGAAACTTCCCCCCATGCTCTGTGCTTTGCTCTCACACTCCTGCCCCACAGCTGTGTTAACTCAGCTCTCTCTGGGCTCAGTGAGGGGAAAGGTTGAGAAGCTCCTGGTGTCAGAGGCAGCCCTCCCAACAACGCACCACAAAGCATCGGCGGCTGCAGGGCTGCAAGCCCTTCTACATAACACTGCCAACTCACTTTCCTGGGAGCTTTCTGTCGTTTCAGCCTAAAACATGTAAAACTGCCTTAAAATAACCTTAGCTGTACAACTCTCAGGCAATTGCTGGAGAAAGCCACTTGTTTGCTCGTGACAGACCTGGCAGCCATACAAAGACAATATTCTGACGTGGTTACAAGCGGAGCACTGAGCTTCAGCCACTGACCCAAAGGCACAGCTCTGCCCGGCCGTGTCTGAACGCTGAGCGTGCAAACACAGTGCGGGCTGCAGGGTCACTGCAGGGCTGTGGACAGGGAGCAGCTCTGAGCTTGGGGTTAAGCTGCAGGCGGGCAGACACACCACGGTACACTTATGGCCCCTGACAGCCCAGGGCTGACCTCAGGACTCCTGTCGAGTTTCTGCCAGGAGCCGGGCTGCTTCCATCAGGAGCTGGGACCCACAACCTGCCTGCAGCACGGGGCGACCAAGGAAGGCAGAGCGGGGCTGAATTTGGGATGGGAAAGGGAAAGCTCCATTCAGCTCAACGGACCTCCAGACAACACCTGGAGCAACTCAGAGCTATAAACCTCTACAGAACGCCGACCAGCCGTACACCAACCCCGCTCCCAAACGGCTGCGAGCGAACCCCGAGCCCAGCGCATCCCACCCCGAGGAGACGGGCACGGTACCTGTAGTAACTGAGCAGCCCGTTGCTGAGCACGAACCAGCGGCGCTGGTAGCCCTTCAGGTAGTTGGTCCACTTGAAGAGCCAGCCCTTGTAGGTGTCGGAGCCCGGCGCTGCAGGCGCTCCCCCCGCCGCCGCTCCGCCACCGCCGCCCCGGCTCCCCGCACCCGCCGTCTCGGCGCTCATGGCGCGACGACCGGAGCCCGGCAGCTCGTGGCAAGCCAAGCAAGGGACGGCGCTGAGCAGTGAGACCAGCCCGCGGGTGCTGCCGCTGCACAGCGCGGCCGCTTTCCCCATAGAACCCGCGGCGCGGCCCCGCCGCCCCGAAACGCTGCGCTGCGCTCTGCCGGCACCGGCGCGGGGCGGCGCCGCGGTGCGTCATGCGGAGAACGTGGGGGGGGGGGCGCAGAGAGTAGGCGGGCACGTGAGGCGGCGCGCGGCGAGAGCGCCCCCTGGCGGCGGGGCGGGAAGGGCGCGCGGCCCCTCAGCCTCTCTGGGCGCAGCATCCCGCAGCCCCCGCCATTTTGCTCCCGCCGCCATTTTGCGGCCCCACGCGCCCCCTCAGCACCGTGGCATTTCTTAGAATCACACAACTGCAGAATCACAGAACCCCCGGATCCCACACCCGATCAGGCTGCCCAGGATCTCACTCCCCGTGGTGCTGGAACAGGCAGCGGCAGCCCCTCGTCTCCAGGTCCCTCATTCTCCGCACAGCGCCCAATGAAGCACCACGAGGACCTTGGTCACGCCAAGAGCCCTCTCCTCTGTGCCTCCTCCCTCCCAGAGGCGGGGATCTCCTTTCCCTGATCTGGCTGATCTGCTCTTATCCCACTAATCACATCACAGCTCGCTGATCACCTGCACCTCTGGCAGTTTGCAAGAATGAAGTCCCGTGAACGAGGGCTTTAGAAGCTGGGCTCAGCCACGTGGAGCAGCAATGGAAGAGATGCCTCATCAGGCCCCTGACACCAGCTTTGGGGCATCTCCAATGAGAACGTTTGGCTTGGAGCCTTAGGAGCTGCCTGGTCCAGATCCTCAGGTGAAAAAAGGACGCAGCCAGACTCTGCACACAGCTTCACTGCTCTCCTGAATCTGGTTGAACGCTTCCTCCCATCAGACCCCCCTCAATAGCACTAGCAGAAACTGAGACAGTTCATAAGGGCATGCCCACTACCTGAAAGCAACCCAAAAGAAACATGGACTATAAAAGCATTACAATAAAGGTGTGATAACAAAAGGACTGGCGCAACAGAGAGCTGCTATAAAGGGAAGAAGATTGCTCACCCCTATCAGAAGAGCCCAGGGGGAAAGCTCCACCAAGGAAAGCTCTTCAGAAAGAGATCCTGGTGGATGACATGAAAGATGTCCTGGTGGATGACAGGTTGGCCATGAGCCAGCAGTGTGCCCTTGTGGCCAAAAAGGCCAATGGCTTACTAGGGTGCATTAAAAAGAGCGTGTCCAGCAGGTCGATGGAGGTGATCCTCCCCCTCTACTCTGCCCTGGTAAGACCTCATCTGGAGTACTGCGTCCAGTTCTGGGCTCCCCAGTACAAAACAGACAAGGATCTCTTGGAAAGAGTCCAGCGGAGGGCCACGAAGATGGTGAAGGGCCTGGAGCATCTCTCCTACAAGGATAGGCTGAGTGAACTGGGTCTGTTCAGCCTTGAGAAAAGGAGACTGAGAGGGGACCTGATCCAGGTCTATAAATATCTAAGGTGTGGGGGGCAGAATGGCGAGGCCAGACTGTTTTCAATGTTGAGTGGAGACAGGACGAGGGGAAACGGCTGGAAACTGCAGCATAGGAAGTTCTGCACAAATGTGCGCAAGAACTTCTTTACGGTGAGGTGACGGAGCACTGGAACAGGCTGCCCAGGGAGGTGGTGGAGTCTCCTTCTCTGCAGATGTTCAAGACCTGCCTGGATGCCGACCTGTGCGACCTGCTGTAGGGAACCTGCTTTGGCAGGGGGGTTGGACTCGATGATCTCTGGAGGTCCCTTCCAACCCCTACGATTCTGTGATTCTGTGATTCTGTGATCCTCCCCCAGGGGCAGCCAGCCCTTCAATGAGGCCTAAGAGAGGTGCAGCCAGGCTCCATCCCTTCCTGTCACACAGCTGAACTGCCTTCACCTGTGCTCCCAGGGCTGACCGGCTCCTTTCCCCAGGTGCTCCATCAGTGCTGCAGGCCATTCAACAGTTCCCATACACTGGAGGTAACCTCTGGAGGCTTTAGACAAATTTGGACTGGAAGACATCAAAATCAGCCCCTACAACACAGTGTCCTCTGATGAAAGTTTAAAAAAAAAACATGTCCAGATTTTTTTTTTTTTTTTGGCCAGGATCTCAAGGGCTGTAGGTGTTTGTAAGATCAAACCCTGAGATGAAACATCCCTCTTGACATAAGCATAACCATACTACTCACATGGGTGCAAACTTCTGAAAGTCTCCACAGAGCTTAGAATTCTCTTGTGGCTGCAAAGAAGTGAAGAAACATCCTTAGATCATGCCTGAGTAGAGAGGAGTCTCACCTGATCCTGCCTGTCACATCCTTGAGTCCAGGCCTGAGTGATTTCAGGATGTGCTTGGCAACCTGCACAGGACTCCACGCAAGATGGCAAAAATCCCGTGATTTGTATTGAGCACGTTGAGGATATGTCACAGTGACCCCATGCTTTTAAACAAATAAACAACCCAGGAAAATCTGGCAGGGCCTGAACATCTCCAGGGACTCTTGCCCTTAGCAAAACGGTCCCTGTCTGCCTCAGTGTCATGGTATCATGATCCATTTGCTATAGATATCCATTTATGAACAGAGGTAGAGAGGGAGAAAAAGGACAGGTGGCTGTTGGGGATTTGCACCCAGCATTGCGCTGTCCTGGGAAAACAATCTGCAGTGAAGAAACTCCAACGTCAGGGAATGCAAAACTGTCAATTGGAACCTGGATCCAAAAGCCGTTAGTTCCCGGACTAAATGTAAAGAGAATGCGAGTGGAAGTGCCATACTGTAACATGAACAGCCTCGTTCCACCAAGAAAATGAAACATGTAAGACAAAGCGCTCTGTGCAATTGTATCCATGACCAGTTTCAGCTCTAAGGAGCAGAGTAGCGAAGAACTCTGGTATGAAGTTGCTACATGGCTACTGAAAATGAGAGGCAGGGAAGAGTTAAACACGTTTGACTCATGCCTCTGTGAAAGGGAAAGGTAACAGTGTGCTCACAGGGCATCCAACACTTGGAGAATCCATGGAGAAGCACGTTGTTGAAACTGGCCCTGTTGTGTCAGTTCTGTTGTGGATCAGCGGTGATCCTGCAGCTTCCTCGTGTGGAAAGGGAAACATTCTCTCAAATGCACACAAGCAGAAACCGAGCCAGATGAAAAACTTCATCCCACCCCCAGGAATGATTTTATTCCCACCTTCAGTAACAACAGAATTGGAGAGAAGCCACTGTTTGGTACACCTAGCCCAGTCCCTTCACCAGAAGACCTCTTCCATCTTTTAGAGCTAGCAAAGCTAAACCTGAAACAGTGAGACGTGTCTTCATGCCAATACTTTGTTATACTCAAAGTACGTGAGGCAGCTCCAGTCCTGGACCGTTTGGGCCTTACTGCAAATGCTATTTCAACCCTAATGCTTTATCTGGAAGTGCTCTGTCTCAAAGAAGTCAGCTACTTTGACAGGAGAGGAAATAGATGTTGTGATTATTTCTTTTCCTTCTTGCCTTTGCCCTTGCCTTTGCCCTTGCCCTTCTTCTTTTTTTTCGGCTTGAAGGTAGACCGGATCAAGTAGCCTCTCCAGAAGGCCTGGATGCGGGTGGCAGCGAGGGTCATGACAGCCAATTTCTCCAAAGCCTGCTTCTTCTTCTCCTCATTTACCCTGCGCTCCTCCTCAATCTGGGAATACTCCTGGAGAAGCATAGCATGTTTCTCCATCAGCAGGGACAGCTCGGCCTTCTCCTTGTTGTAGGCAGCATGAACCTCCTCAAACTCAGCCTGCCAAGACAATAGGTAAATACCAGCTACAGCATTATTGAGGGCAATCAGCAGCTTCTCCCTATACATCACTAGGTAAGGGTTCTTTTACCCTTCCTGAATCCAGGCAGACCTGGAACGGGAGCTGAGCTGAACCTTTCCAAAGGGACTGAAAAGGAGGCATGTTCCCAGTACCCACGGAATTTCGAGAGAAGCCAGGTCCTAATGTCTTCACGCTCCTCTGAAGAAATACTCTCCTGATTCTCCCTGCATTGCAGACAGCATCCATTCTCAGCTGGGAGCCTGACAGAGCCACAGGTCAGAGCCCTTCCTGCATATGCTCTGGGCAAAAAAAAATGTTCCACTGAAAAGCCAGATCGTGTCAGCCTGCAAAACGCCAAGGGTTTTAATGGTTTAACTGTACTGCAGAACTCAGCAGCACTTTATTCCTTTCCTTTAACAATGCCGAGCGGAAGGTTACAGGAACCAGCAACGTGGATGTGTGTCCTAGCAATTTCTGCCCAAATCTGCTGGGACATCATGCTGCAGCCAGTCAGCAGACAGAAAACCAGGATACTTGGCCATTACTAAACACTTGACAAGGGAGGAATCATAGGATCATTTCTAAGAATGAGCATACAGATCCTAGACCCCCCTCTACATTTTACTTTGCCAATAATCCAGTGGCTTTCCTTCATCTCTGTGAAAAGGTCAGGTACATGAAAGTAACTCAGGCCATCTCAGAGGTGAGGTTAGGGAGTGCTGACACACTTCTCAGCCTGCTGTGGTTAACATAGATGCCAAGACAGTGGCATGCAGGCTGTAAAGTTTTTTAGCACTTGACTGGCATCTCTTGAGGGGGACAGAGGATATAGAAACATGATTTGGATTCCAGACAGGGCCAACGGAACTGAGAATTGAAGCAAAAGTGAAAGCCCTGTTCCCTAACAGCAGGAGGTCTTCGTCTGACAGAATGTGGCACTTCTTCTTCCCCCAGATTCTGCAGGGTTCAGCATCGGATGCAACCTTTTCTAAAATAAAAGCAGCAGAGAACTTTGCCACACAAAGTTAGGACAGTGATACTTTCCAATGCCCGTACGTCTACTGGATGGAGAACTGCCCCTCACATCCACAGCCTCCTGTGTGAGAGCCAAATGTCCATTCAGTAGGGATCCATCTGACTGTGTCAGCTCATGGCAGTAATGCTTTCGAGAGGATACCTGCTTTTCTGCCATGTCTGTGTCATATGCCTGGATCCAGTTCAGAATTTCCATCTCCACTCTGCATTTTCTCTGAAACAAAACAAGACAGGTTACTTGCAGGCACTTGAAGCTTGGTGATACAAAGCTGAGGAATGGCTGACACACCATAAGGCTGCCTTCAGCCAGACTTGGACAGACTGAGAGTTGGGCAGAGAGGAATCCGATGAGGTTCAACAAGGGAAAGTGGAGAATCCTACACCCAGGGAGGAATAACTGTGCACATCAGTACAGGTTAGGGGCTGAGCTGCTGGAAAGGAGCTCTGTAGAGAAGGACCTGAGTGTCCTAGCGGACAGCAGGGTGACCGTGAGTCAGCACTGAGCCCTGGGAGCCAAGAAGGCCAATGGTATCTAAAAGTACATTACAAAGAATGTGGCCAGCTGGTCAAGGGAGGTTCTGCTCCCCTCTGCTCTGTGCTGGAGAGGCCACATCTGGAGCACTGTGTCCAGTTCTGGGCTCACCACTTCGAGGCAGACATGGAACTGCTGGAGAGTCCAGCAGAGGGCCACAAAAACGATGAGAAGCACTGTGTATCTCCCTTTTGGGGAAAGGCTGAGAACCCTGGGGAAGAGAAGGCTGAGAGGGGTCTTACCAATGCCTACAAATATCTCAGGGGTGATGTCAAGAGCATGGGGCCAAGGCTCTTTTTGGTGGTGCCCAGTGACAGGACAAGGGGCAATGGGCACAAACTGGAACATGAGAAAGGATTTCTGGACTTCGAGGGTGACACAGCCCTGGAATAAGCTTCCCAGAGGTGGCAGAATCTCCTCCTCTGGAGATACTGAAAACCCACCTGGATGTTTTCCTGTTCCTGCTGTAGGGACCCTGCTTTCACAGTGGGGTTGGACTAGATGACCTCTAAAGGTCCCTTCCAACCCCTGTGATTCCATGATTCTGTGTAAAATCCTGAGTTAGAAAACAGCGTCATAGCTTTGAGCTCTAGCATCATTATATTTGAATAGAATATCTCCTCCTTGTGGCAAGCTTGCTTCAGCTGACCTATATTTTGCTCCTGATTTGGAGATTCTTATGGAACAGACCTGCATTGCCTGAGTCCTAAAGCACTTTATCAGCTCTATAGTATAGAGCTGGATGAGGGCTGAGGATTGAAACCCATCAGAAAGGCGTGTTCTGTGGTAGGAAATGGAAACCTCTCATGGAATGAGGCAAGTCATCCACAAACTGGGCCAACCACCCTGGAACTGAAGTAATGGAGAAATAGTAAACATGAAAGCCCTACAAATATGGAGCCTCTTGAAACTAAGCCATATTTCTAGGTGTAAGACAGTTTAACAGCAGCCTAACCCTGTACTATAACCAAGTATGCTGTATTTGTACTCCGAGAGAAAGATCAGCCACAGCCTGCCACAAGCCACATGATTTCCTGTATGACACTGGCCCACGGGCTTCCAAGCCATCATAGCAGGTCAGATGAGGCACTTCTCAGCTATTGGCACGACAAAGTTAATTTCAGGCCGCTCAGGGGTCCAGCACATGACAAGGAAAGGGAAAGGAGGATCTCTGTGGTCAGTAAATCTCTCTGCATGAGCTGAGCAACTCTTCACAACAGTCACTGCAACAGCCTGCCTGCCCAAAAAAAGAAAAAAAAAAAGAGCCACTGCATTAATGGAGGTGCAGTTGGATCGCTTGGATTTTGAACAGTGGCTCTAACCTGCATTTGATGCTTTGCCAACTGCCCAGCCTCTGAACTCTGACTAGAGCACAAGCTCTCTGTCGTGCAGTGTCACAGCACTACTCAGGGGAGTTTCCAGAGCTAGGGAACAAGAGAAGGAGCTGTGAGCAGGCTACTTCCCAGCAGCACGTCAGGCCTGCTTTCTGCTGAAATCAGCAGAGCACGAGGGCAGCACAGTGCACTGACAAACAGCGTGTGCATCCAGGAAAAGGCAGGGACAGAACAACCACTTGCAGCCAGACCTGGCAGCTCTACGACAGGTTTTACCGTTTACCTTTCTGAGAGCCAACTCTGATGCTCGATGTTCCAGCACCTGCTTATTGAGCTGTGTTTCTAGCTGCTGAATGTCCTGCTGTAGCTTGGCACACCTGGCCTGGGAAGCTTGCAGCTCTTCTTTTTGCTGTTTTTCGCCTTCCCACTTGACCTGCAGGATGTTGTTCTTGCAGCATTCGTCTAGAACTTCCATGCTGTTTTTGAGATCTTTGATCATATTGTCTTTGTTCTGAATCTAGACCCAGAAAACCAGAAGGAAATGTCATCAGGGGGTGCAGGTGAAGCATAAAGTGGTCAGGAGGAAAAAGACACCATTGCAAAGGTGGAGGTGAGTGTCAGGCTCACTGACACTGCAGGCTGAAGAAGCCTGCTGTGTCTCCCTAGGAGCCAAGATCATCCCTTTGGTTTCAGGTAAGGCTTGGAGTGACTGCCTGGGGGACACAGCTCAGAGGGCCGCCTCTAAGAGGGATCCTCAGCTGGGAGCAGTGAAACACACTTGCTTGTTGTGCACTGACAAGCTGCCAAAATACACATAAAAATCTCATGTGTCTCAATTCACAGATCTCCCAGGAGTGGTAGGGAAAGGGGAAAGCAGGCCCTCGTCTCCATCAGAGCCATTCAGTGCAGTGAGCCTGGGACAAAACCTTCCCTTCTGACCCCTCCTGCAGAAAGACAAGCACACACATAAAACAAGGGATTGCTTGTCAGGAGTCCAGGGCTTGAATTCTGGCTCAACCCACAGACTCACGAGAAGAGCCTGAGAAATGCCCATTAGCTAATCCATACCTCAGCTGCCTTCACTGGGGAAAAAAAAAAAAAAAAGAAAGAAATTATATCATCACACATTAATTATAAATGCTCCAAGGTAGCTCGCATTAGAGCTGGAAGTCTCAGAAATGTTAGTTTCAAGAGTGAAGGCAGAGCTGGCATGGAAAAATAGATTTTAATCGGAACAATCTCTCTCTAGAATGACTTTCCATCATTTCACCAGCAGTGAATGGAGCCTCTCTCTGGCAGCTGACACTGTAGCCCTGCTGAAATACTACTGCAGTCATCTGTGCCTGTCCTGCAGCTCCTTTTTAAGCTCAGTAACTTGTGCCATTGAAGGTGGCTTGTGAGGTTCAAAACACGCCAAGCTTAAACATGAAGCATTCAATAAACATTTTCAAATTATATTTAGAATCTGATTTAGAAATCGTTTCTGGAACCTCCTCTTTAGGACCTGCAGGAAAGGGATTGTTTTTCAGCTTACTGAAGTTTTGCTTCAGCGACCCTTTGTCAGAAAACATTTCTCACACTGCCATACCTCCTCATCGCGGGTCCTGATTGCTGCTGCCAGTTCTGCCTGCAGAGCTGTGATTGTTTCAGTGTTTCTGTTGATCCGGAGGGAGATGTCTTCCATGAGCCGAACCGTTTCTTCCTCTTCTGTAGGACTCGTCAGGAGTCGCCCAAGCATAAAATTCCTGAACTCCCCGAAGGCTTTGAGAAATGCTTCGGTTGCCGGCTCTCGTGCCCAAACTTCGTGTTTCAGAGCCTTACAAAGTGAAGGGATGGCCAACAAGAGTCTCAGGATATTTCTAACACAACATTTCAGATGTTGTCCCAGCAAGTGGAGATCGGTGGTGTCCTCTTCTTCGGCAGCGGCAAGCAGCTGCTCCATTTGCTTTGAAAGCTTCTGGTACTCCATCAGGTTGGTTGTGATCTCAGGTCCCAGCAGATCAGCAAACCTGTCCAGAGAGCCGATAATACGTGGGATCAAGGAGCTCAGCTCCAGCTTGGCAATCGTCTCATCCAAGACAGATAGGATTCTTTCTGTCTCAATGCTATTAGGTTTCAACCAGCGCAGATCTAACGCCTTCACGGCACCTGCTGCCATCATTGCCTTCTCTGCAGCCTCTGTGCCCATTACCAGCAATTTGTTTCTTTCCTTTGTGTCCTGCACTGATACTCAGAGCACAGCTGGAACACAGCTCCCATTAAACACTTGGGACTTCGTTGTTTTCAGGTCTAGAAGAGACACAGCATCTCCTACACAGGCCCTCAGTGTAAGACCACGAAGGCACGGGGCTGCCAGCAGGGCTGACCGCTGCCCCGGGAGGCTCTCAAGCAGCGGGAGCGCAGCCGTGGGAGGGCAGCGAGGGGCTCCTGGCTTTCAAGCCGGTGCGACGAGAGCTCCCAGCTCCTAAGCAGCAGCCGAGGCAGAGATCAGACTGCAGCTCTGCAATCCTCGGAAGGCTGTGGGAGAAGGCGCGAGTCTGTGCGGCCGACAGAAGGGCGGTACGGAGCGGCGGTACGGAGCCGCGCTCCCGCAGCGCTTCGCTCACCTCCGACCGGACCGCACTGCCGCCGGCGTCCCCCGGTCGCTAGGCAACCCGCGCGCGGGGGCGGGCTCTTTCCCCACACCCTGAAACCACTCAGCGTCTTCGTTCGCTTGACGGACAGCGGTACTGTCCAATGAAAAGCGAGGACAGGCCGTGACGTCGCTGGGCGGCCATTTTGGGGGTGGTGGCAGCGGGTGGGTTCAGGCACAAAGGCGCAATGGCCGAAGTCGCTGTTTGCGGCGGGTTTCGAGAAGCGTGGGGATGCGGCACTGAGGGACGTGGCGGGGCTCGGTCAGCAGTCGGACTACATGATCTTAGCGGTCTTTTCCGGCCTAGGATTCTATGAACCAAGTGGCTCCCAGCTGTCAGCCTGTGCGCACCCGCTGTTGCCCACGTGGGGCTTTGGGCAGGAGCAGCTCGTCTGAATAACGCTGCAGCCTCCTGTCCCTGCAGCCTCTTCGGTGAGGGAAGGCATCGTGCGCGCATCTCTGGCTGCTACGGGTGGGAGCTGGATCCTGGCAGTGCTGGCTGCTGCTGGGATTTATCCTGCCTTTGGTTCCAGTCTCAGCCACCAGCACCCTCTGCAGTCGGCTGCAGGCAGCAGAGGTCCCCGGAGCTGTCGGGGCGCTGAGATCACAGCACGTTATTTTGATCAGCAGAAAGCCTTGCCAGCAGCTCCTGCACGGCCAGGTCTGGGAATCAGCCAGCACTCAGACCCAGCGTGCCAAAGGGTGCAGCGCCAGCATGATTTGGTCACACAAATCTGGTGTCTGGACCAAACTCTGAGCCCATGCTCAGTGTTAAACTTCCCCATTTCTCCCAGTGTTTTCCAACAAGGAAGACCCAGAGGCAGCCAGCAGAACCCACCCCAGTCTAACAGCCTCCAGCTCCTCCAAAACTGTGCAGCGTTATTTGCTTGTTGGCACTTCCATGTTTTTCACCACACTTCTTCTTGCTTTATAGAGCTGCTCAAGCTAATCGATGTAGGCAGACACCAGCCTGCCCCAGTGCCAGCATGAAAGAAGAAATGTATCATGTCCAACCCAGCCAGGTGTGCTGTCCTGATGCTGAGGATTTTAAAAACAAGCGTATGAATCTCTTAAGGAAAAGCAGAATGTACTCTGTGCTGCAGCAATGCAGCAACCAGGGTGGGCAATCAGGGTAAATACCCTCAGTGCTGTGGTTTGTCCATAAGCTGAACTCCATCCTGCTTTGGGGATTCTACCATTACTCTGAATATCCCTGGTTTGGATAAGGACAGAGGAAAGTCAATAAAATCTACTTGATCTTCTGCACCTTGAGGGATCCTTCTTCAATACCTCATTCCTTGTTGTTTTTTCTCCCTAGTGCCTTAAGTTACCAAACTTTCTTCTTTTTCCAGTGAGGGGTTTGTTTGCACCCTCTGGCTCTCTGATCCAAGCAGCCATGACACATGTTTTGGATCCTCTCTAAAGGCACAGGAAGGAGAGACCAAGACAAGCCCCCAAAAATCTTCTAGTGGCTTTCCATTACTTTTCTATTGCCTCAGAGGAAAGCAATCCTTTGGAAGGCTTTTTGCCTCTTACGGCTGTGCTGCTGCTCAGCCCATGCCCCCACATCAGCCTCATCTATATGAAAGGAGCAGAACCCGACGGCGAGGGATGGTGCTGTTTATTGCTGCAGCAGGCTGAGCACTGGCTTCCAGGAAGGACGAGCTGAAAATCCAAGCAAGCAGCTGAGAAACACAGCAGTCAGCTCAGCACAGCCTGCGGGAGGAGCTCTCTGGATGTTTTTCCCAATCCCTTCTCACGTCCCTTTGCTCGCAGCCTGGCCGCAGCAGCAGGGGCGGACGGCTTTCTACCTCTGCGGCTGAACACCTCCAGGGATTTTTCAAACCTTTCTGATGCCTTCTTCCACCGGGCTGTTTTTCTCTCCTGTTCTTTCACAAACTGCTGCTTCAACTGTTGGTGGTAACGTTCAATCTTCTTTCTGGCCTCTTCCAAGTGCTTTACCTTTAAGAAGGCAAATGTAAGACCTTATACCTCTATCCTAACTTCAACGTAAAGATCTTAGAAGTGATGCTTGTCTCTGTGAAAGAAGACATCCTGCCAGGTCCCTCCCTCCCTGCCACGAAGGTGACCTCAAAGCTCCAAAGAAGCTCCAAAATCCATAATTATCGCTTTAAACATTGATCTGATTAAAAAATAAAAATTAAAAAATGGAATCATAGGATCATTAAGGTTGGAAAAGACTTCCAAGATGGCCAAGTCCAACCCCAACCCATCCCCTAACCGTGTCCTTCAGTGCCACACTGCAGGAGCTGCCCAGCTACCAGAGCAGCACTGGTTTTGCTGATGCACTCAATGCTAATTCACTCACAGCAGCTGCGCTGCCCCAACTCCTTGAAACCCATAACTCTGCGTGTTCTGCTGAGCACGGAGCACACAGGTGACCGTCAGCCCCGGTTCAGGGAATGGTGAACGGAGGAAAAGACATCTCAGCTCCCTCCTGTGAGGCTGCTGATGAGGATCCTCAACATGTCAGTGTCCAGCTCTGCCTGATGACGCCCTGAATTGTAATTCCAGACTTCACCTGGCATCCTCACTTCCTGCAGGAGGGGGCGTCTCGCCTGCCATGGCTCACAGACTCATTACTGCTCAAAGCACAAGGCCTTAGGGGGCAATCAGGCAGCTGAGATGTTGTAAAACCTTTGGCTCATTCCCATTCCTGGGAGGACAGGTGTCAACGTGTTGCTCGTGTCTCACTGCAGGGCTATTTTAGCAATGACATCTAAGGGCAGATTCGGTCTGACCACTCCAGCATTTGTTTCCCTCTCTGCTGCGCAGAGCCCCAAAGCAGAGTAAAGCCCCTGGCATCTGCATTAAGACCTGGCAGGCTGAAGATTTAAGGGCTGAAGTGATGATTTCAGGGTTCTGAGGAACTGGGAGCAAAGCGTTTGCACAAGACATTCTTCAGCCATTCGTCATCTGTGGCTCTTGCTGCCAGGGGATGAGGAACTCCCTCCTTTTTTTCCAAAGCACAGCCTCCAAAACACAGCAGAGAACACTGCAAACCTTCCCCTATGCTGGCAGGATGGCGGCCCAGGGGAGGGAGGTTGTCACCTTCTTCTCCAGGAGCAGCAGGGTATGGTGGCTGGAGCGGCCGGCTGATCGGGACAGGGAGCTGCGGAGCTCATGGTCACCCACACTGATGTCAAAGTCCACACAGCTGCTCCGGGCAATAGGAAATCGGGTCACACAGAGTGGGGTACGAGCAATGCCTTTTTTGGGGTGCGTGGGGACCTGGTGTGGTTCTGTAAGGAGTCCCACCATCTCTGATCTGGTGTGAGGGGTCCCATGGATCCCAACCAGTGAGAGGGGTCCCACAATCCACATGATGATGTGAGGGATCCCACCGTCCCCATACTAATTTGAGGGGTTCCGCAGCCCCAGGTCAGTGTGTTCTAAGCCCCCAAACTATATGAGGAGATCCCACCACCTCTAGAACAGTATGAGGCAGCCCCCCCATCCCTATATTGGTGTGAAGGGTCCCACCAATCCCACAATGGCACGAAGGAGCCCCACAGCCCCCAGCAGTTTTAAGAGGGTCCCACAGCCCCACATTAGTGTGAGGAGTCCTATCACCCCCAAGCAGTATGAGGGGTCCCTCAGCCCCTCACCAGGCCCTGGTGGGCTCCCTGCTCTCGGGTGGTGGGAAGAAGGTGACACGGGGCCGCACACCACCCAGCTCCTCCATGGCCCCACGCCCCCCATTGTGCATGCAGCGCTACCATGGAATCAGTGGAGAGGGGAATTCGGCCCAGCCACTGCAGTGTGGGGCTGGCAGGTGACAGAGAACAGGGAACACGACACAGGACACTGGAGACAGGGCTGGCCATGCCCCAGCTCAGGCTAGTCCTGCTCCATGTACTCATGGTAGTGTTCCCACTGTGAGCCATACTGGGGGCTGGGCTCAAAAATGAGGCAAAACCTCATTAATGATGGCAGTGAGAAGCATCCATGTAGGTTGGTCATGCCCAAGGATGAGGGGAGGAACACGGTGAGACAGGCTGCCCGGAGAAGTTGTGGATGCCCCGTTCCTGGAGGCATTCAAGGGCAGGTTGGACGGGGCTCTAGGCAGCGTAATCTAATGGCTGGCCACCAGCCCATTGCAGGGAGGTTGCAACTAGATGATCTTTCAAGTCCCCTTCAGCCTACGCTCTGTGCGTGGCCATCTTTACACTTACGCTTGACGCTGTTTGTTTCCCAGGGAAGGAGGAGCAGCAGTGTCCACCGCTACTGCCGGACGAAGGCGCGGGCTATGACAGCCGCGCTGCACCTCCATAGGCACAGGCTGTCCCGCATCACCCCCTGCCTCTACCTCAGCGACGGCGTGGCTGCAGGCAACGCGCAGCTCCTGGCTGCCAACCGCATCACCACCGTCATCAACGTCTCCCTTGAGCTGGCCAACATGTTCCACCCCGGCATCGAGTACCTGCGCATCCCGGTGGCCGACATCCCCACAGCCCGCATCTCTGCCTGCTTCGACTCCGTTGCCGACTTGATCCGCAGTGTGGGTGAGCGCGGGGGCCGCACGCTGGTGCACTGCGCAGCCGGGGTGAGCCGCTCAGCCACCGTCTGCATAGCCTACCTGATGAAGCACCACGCCATGTCGCTGGCCAGTGCTCAC